TTAGAGATCATTGTGCATTTTTTCATGTGGATTCACCATAATAAAATAGCCCGCTAGATTCTCAATAATATCATTTGATAGACATTAAAACAATGAATAAATAGAATAGTCAGACCCAGGTGAGCTGAAAACTATAGCAAGTAATTATGAAACACCAGTTTTCAGCTCAGGTGTATATTAAATAGCAGAACATAGGGGATTGAGCATTTAAAATATAGGGAGATGGAAGCGTGTGACCAATGCAATACTCTTTTCATATTGTTTTATATGTACATTTTTATTTATCTTGAATTTCCTTCTTTCATGCATTTTCTTTCCCTGTGTCTAACTTGTAAATTATTTGTTTCAAGAAAATGTTCAGCAACCACCCATGATTTAAAATTACCAACCCCTTAAGTTATAAGAAAAAGGCAACACAAATAACCAGCAGCGATAAACATTGTCCCATTTTGCGTGGTCTACACGAAAACAAATAAGGCAACAAAAATTGTTTTGTTGCCCTCAGCGACCGAACGAAAAATATGAAATAATAAAATATCGGGTCGCGTTTTTTTTTTTTTAATAGGCCCAAAAGTGAGTAAGTAAAACCATTAAAATGGTGTCGTCGTCTACCAGAAAAACGATCTGCGTCAACTTGAAAATGCAATGTGCGTCGTCGTCTACTAAAAAAAATGCGTCTTCGTCAACTTGAGAATGATATATGCATCGTCGTCTACTAAAAAAAAAGTGTTTCTGCGTCAACTTGGAATGAAAAATGCAAAGTCTACTAGGGGGACTCGTTTTGCGTCGACAACTTGAAAAGTGCAAGTTGCGTCGTCTACTAGGGGGACTTGTTTGCTTCGACAACTTGGAAAATGAAGTGTCGTCGTCTATAAATTAAGGAACTGCGTCAGCGACAAATACGCTGTAGTGTGTTAGTGACTTCTACAAATCATCTCCCGTTAAATCGCGACTACTACAACTCGCTTTGCGACAACTACTAATTAATTAGCGACGACTGTGAATAAGTTTTGTGCTGATTGCTACTACTACAATTGGTAAACGTAGACATCGAAAATCGCACTTTTGTTGAAGAAGCAGCATAATTTTGAAGCTATATGTTTTACCATGCAATTTATATTGACGCAGCAGGGTCCCGTACGGCTTTCCATATTTTGAAGCTATATGTTTTACCATGCAATTTATATTGACGCAGCAGGGTCCCGTACGGCTTTCCATACATTCTAAAGTTGACGCAGACGCATTTCCAAGTAGACGACGACGCACAGTGCATTTTTAAGTTGACGCAAACGCGTTTTCCTGGTAAACGACAACGCACAGTGTATTTTCAAATTGACACCAACGCAACATTTAAGTTAAAAACTTAACTTAACTTTTAAGAAAAACCAAGTCAGAAATAATATATATATATATAATGAAACCTGTGTATAGTAGCAACCGCCCCAATGAAACAATCTTGATATAGAGGACTAATGGAGATTGATATTTGTATATGGATCTCCAACTCGTATATTTGTCATAAATCAAAGAAATTTGACTTGAGGAAATTTAAAGGTTGTTTTATCAATGGCATGAAAGAGTGACCACGTAAAATAAATGTTTTTACATACGGTATGTCTTTAAACTGCCTAAAGATTTCACTATTACTAGTTATGCTTTATATAATATAGAGATAGTCAATAACACAGTTTTAAACTATATAAAAACTGCATTAAAATAGACATTTCGCACACAAATGAGTGAGAGAATTTAATTTACTATTTCCCCTTCTCGGGTTTCTATCATAATTATCTTCTCAATCCTAATGACAAGTTACCAATAATATATGCCATCAATATAAAAATATTAATTTTTATGAATAAAGCTGCACTACAATTTGAGATCACTTACATGCATTGGCGGATCCAGAAATTCTGGTCTCCTATTGACGTTGCCTGGGTTTGTAATTGATTTGTCTTTTTTTTGCGGGATGAGGGGGGGGGGCACTATAGCAAGTAATTATGAAACACCAGTTTTCATCTCAGGTGCACATTAAATAGCACAACATAAAGGGTTGAGCATTTAAAATATAGGGAGATGGAAGCGTATGGCCAGTGCAATACTTTTTTCACAGTGTCTTATCTGTACGTTTTTATTTATCTTGAATGTCCTCCTTTCATGCATTTTCTTTCTCTGTGTCTAACTTTTCCAGCCACTTCCTATGATTTAAAATTACCAACCCATAAGGCTACAAGAAAAAGGCAACACAAATACTCGGTAGCAACAAACAGTGTCCCATTTTACGTAGTCTACACGAAAACACATAACGGGGGGCGAGATATTTTACCGTGTACACTGGATATTTCAGCGATATTTTGTGGAACTATGAACAGAATACCAGTCAATACTTGATTTTGCTCGTTTGCCTGGGAGCAATACTAAAACCGATTAATAACATACATTATTGAACATGACCAACTCAGATATGGTAAATCGATGACCATACTTCCGGGTTGTTGCATTTACATATTCTCGACAGACGCGAGATCTAGAAATGCGTCTGCGTCAACTTGAAAATGTACTGTACATTTTGCGTCGTCGTCTACTAGAAAAAATGCGTCTGCGTCAACTTGAAATAAAAAGTGCAAAGTCTCCTAGGGGGACTCATTTTGCGTCGACAACTTAAAAAGTGCAAGTTGCATCGTCTACTAGGGAACCCGTTTGCGTCGACATCTTTGAAAATGAAAAGTCGTCGTCATCTAGAAATTAAGTGTTAGTGGCGACTACTACAACTCGTTTTGCGACAACTGCTAATTATTTAGCGACGACTGTGAATAAGTTTTGCGCTGATTGTTACTACTACAATTGGTAAACGTAGACATCGGAAATCGCACTTTTGTTGAAGAAGTAGCATAATTTTGAAGCTATATGTTTTACCATGCAATTTATATTGACGCAGCAGGGTCCCGTACGGCTTTCCATAATATGAAGATACGCGGTTTTGATGTTTCATATGCTTTATATTTTAGATCGCTGCAGCGCGTTCTACGCGTGACACGCCGATGCTCGCCGAGAACGCTCTGTGTGAATTAGGTTGAAGGTGTGATACGTTCGTGAGAAAGCCGCATTACAGTCATTTCAACGGCGTGCTGACATTGACATCTCGCGAGTGGTAAAATAACTCATTCCAATAATTTTATATTCGATAAATTGAGTGTTTCACACTACTTAAAGTAACATTTACTGTGTATTTCGCAGTTTTTTGTACATAAACGCATGCTGTTGAATTTTGTGCCACTTCTTATAATACATAAACTAAAATATTGTATTCTTCAAATATAAGTGTTGGTTTTGTGAGGTGGCCGGTGTGAGAGATGTATGTTAGGTGTAGTTGTGTATCGTCTGTTCGATGTGATATATAATGACACACGGTCCTTCAGGAAATATCACGATTTGTCGTCTGCCCTCGGGCTTTTGGTCATGAGCATATTATTGGGCAGGCAACGAATCGTGATTGCCATCACAATCTGTTGTTATTTCAATAACGTAATGAACGGCTTACCAGACGACCAATCCCAAGGGCCGGCATGCCAGTTATTCGAACACGTTAAGTCGTTTTTACACGCAGCCCACCAATCGGAACATTCACTGCGACAAATAGGTACATTTATAAATCTCTCTTCCCGAATCGACTTGTCTTCCTGGAAGTGAAAAACAAAATTTGACTGTGACGAAAATACTTCTTTGGTGGCGCTATACTAGACTACTTTGTTATTTGTTTGACGATTTTTTTAAATTTATGTTATAATCTTCACGAATCAACCGTAAATAGTGTTGCTGTATTGGACTGTTGATATTCCCCGAGGCGCTACTCAATACAATGTTTGTTTTCCCTGGACATATTATTCGATATAACGAAATATATATTTTGTCACGCAGTATAGCAGCTCTACCTGTCCCAATACTCACATGTACAAGCCATGGTCCCAAATTTGGTGAGCATTCATAATGACATAGATCTTTCATCATAAAGTCCCAACACTGTGTTGAAATGTTAGCACAATGGTTCCAATCAAATCCATGCCATATATCGGCGTAGTGCATGGCGGCCGTTGTCTCTGCTTCGCAACACGATCTTTCTTTCCAAGAGTCGCACTGTTAAACCAAGTAATACAACACTGTAGCAATCATAGTAATAAATAAATAAATAAATAAATAAATAAATAAATAAATAAATAAATAAATAAATAAATAAATAAATAAATAAAATATTTAGTTTTCGTCTACTATCATGGACGAAATGATCATCATATCGATGGCAATAAATCCTTCACATCAAGATAACTTACATGACCCGCAAGTTTCTCCTCCACACTGGGTACGTCTTTGTGATATTTCCCCAGTAAACATGTATTGATATTTTCTTCGTAGGTTCGATGAATTGCTACACTCTCCCAACACTCAATCTGTACAAATATAGTCGTCAGTACCAGCAGCGTCAGCAGCGGTAGGTAGGTCATTTTGTTTGAGAATTATTGATGAGCTGGTGGAATGAGAATGACACATAATCATAGTAAGTAGTAATTGATGTACCCCCCCCACACGCACACAGTAAACAAATACTCAAATGCGCCGAACAAAACACGTAGAAATTTCTCAATGTCAAGAAACCTGTTAAAGAACTTAGGTTTTCAATTTACGTTAAAACTGTCAAAAGTGCTCTTCTTCCATAAACTTGGAGAAGCATAATAAAAAGCACGCTGTACAAATGTTTTTTTGTGGTAGCAAACGACGAAGTGCTTAATACAGTGTCATGGGTTACATGAAAAGAGGGCGTTGATTTAACTACGAGTACTTGTTCACATGCGTCTCATTGCGGGATTAAGCACGAAACTCGGGGTCGAGTCCAAGCCTTTGACTCCGAGCTAAAACCGGGTCGATACGGGGTTAATCTGTTCACACGTGTGTCATCAGTGGGTTTAAATCAATTCGGGGTCGAGCTCCGTGTTTTGCTACGTGTGAGCATAGAAGACTGCCTGCATAGTATATTTGGGTGATGATTTGCAGATTAACATGTTCAAGTGCCAAACTAAACACCCTGATTACGAGTTTAGATGTTGTAGGAATACTAAAGCATCCATTTATCTATAGAAGGTATGTCGAATTTGCAAATGACGTGGTCAAAAAAAGTTAAAGTTCAGTTTTGTCAGAGTTCAACTTTAAGAATTTTGCCGTTTACCAACAAACTAGTAAACAAGGTAATACGGTATAAGATCACGGATGTGTTAGAACTAATGTGTGGCTATAAAACCATAAAAAAACACGCCATCACCGACTCACAATCAATGACGACCAGGTAACTTTTCACGCAAGAGGGTCATCTATACAAGTATTAATAGACTATTATGCATATTCAAAGTTTCTCTAAACGAGACAATAAGATATTATTACTGAATTAATTGATTTATAAATTACTATTATGTTGACCTGCAGCTGCCCAGGGAAATGACTGATAAAGTTGCCAACTATTGTTGTGTATATTATTGAAAGATTAGGCCGCGATCAGGTAGATATCAGGGGTTCGACCTTGAAACAAGAGTCGCGAAACTTCGTTACTGATGCGCAGTATTAAATACATTGGGATGGTCAATACGGCGACACCATGTCGTCAATTTTATCTGATGCAGATTACTCATGTTGCCAAACACATGACCTGTAGTTACCAACTATCGACCTCCGGATACCTCATACATTTAGCACAACAGAGGTAGATATGGAATTTTGATCAAGCATCGCAATGTATCGAACTATATATGTGATCATACATTAACTGTAACATAGTACTGTCATGCTTATATTATTTGATTTAGTTATGATTAACATATATTTTTTTGAGTAAAGTGATCGTCACGTTATTATTTTAGACACAAATCTATTAATAATTACTAATAATTCTTATAAAAAGCATGCAAAACATGGCAATAATAACGGACTTTTCTCAAAAGTTACTTACCGAAACAGTGATATTGTTTGCAACACAGCTTACGGCAGCAGTGTAAGTGCGACAAACAATAGTAGGGGTCAAGACCCATATGCATATCAGGGTCACATGACTAACGTATCTACAGGACAAAGAATACCATAGGTCATATCCCAGGGTCTATCAGGGTCACGTGACCAACAACAGATACGGCAACGATACCTGTAATAATCACGGGTAGTGCCTGATTAATAATTGATCTAGATTGAGTTTAAAGTTCAAATCATTTTTTTAATATTACAATAAAACAATTAATGCCTGATATATACCGATAAATTCACTACTCCATCAGCGTTTTTTAGTTGTTATGTGACGACATTGAAGTTGTTACTACCTCAAACCGGTCATATAACCTAAGAGTAAAAACACAGCACCATAGTCTTTTGTTTGTTTTATACATAGTGTTGGTTTTACACTGTTAAAAAGAACAAGTGTAACTTATTGATTAAGCGATTTAAAAATATCAAAACACTAATGTATGTATTATCTCCGTCTTGGTTCTTCAGCTTGTTGGGACAGTTTTTATCTTAATGAATAACTCTAGGGTTCTGTGTCCATTGAATTCAAAAATTTCCACTATAAGTGGTATTTTTTCTGTAAAATGAGCGTCCAGGTAATTTTATATTGTGTCTTGTTTTCATTTAATGATGCCATCAGTGTTAATACTTGATATCGTTGATAACGATAGCTACAAGAAATGAGAACACAATAACACCAAGTTGCAGACGCATGTTTGTAGATAAACAAGCCACCAACTCAGTGGGATAGTTTCACAGAAAACCAAACTAAAACGTAAAAGCTATTCAAGTTTGAACTTTTCTGACCAACTGTAAAAGTCCTGCTCGGAAAAGAATTGATTTGTATAATCTTCCTTGTACAAATTTCACAGATAATTATGATGAAGTGTCTGTAACTGCTACAGGTCGAGTACCGTTTTGTAAAGACAAAAATACAAAAAAAAAATTATAGTAAATTGTACAGAGATTCTAGTGTTACCTTTTATAACTAAATAATACTTCATAGTGCATTATTTATGTACAAACATTTTAGCACGTTTTACGGTAAATTGTGTGTTTTTATTTACGTTACAATTGTGGTAGACTTTCGAAATTGTTATCAGTATAACGCCCAAGACTGTATATCTATAACAATGCAAACACATTTCTTTAGGACTGCGTGTGTCACGAATCCAACCTGCATATATACCATAAACGAATGAAAGATTTGTGCTGGATGATGGTGGCATGATTTGACATCGATTTGGAATGAGGATGTGTCTATTGGTATAGAAACATCATGGCGTGTAAATGTGATTTAAACTGGTGACGATAACACTTGAAGTTCGAAATTTTGAAATGATCGTCAGATTAAACAAGACATTGTAACCTTCCTAACGCTGGATTCTGTCAAAATTACTTAACAGGTTTGTTTTTAAATTGCATTGTACAGTTAGTGCATGTCTGGGGATTGGGATTTATATAGTATTCTCTTCTATTGTATAAGGATGTTTAGTTAGCTGAATATCTGCTTTATTCGTGAGTTATTATTTTTATTGTTTTACAGTTGTTGTAGTAAATATGTCAGGATGCCTTCACGTGTATTACAACTTTTCATATTATTTGCTACCTTGGAAACAACTAACGACATGGGAGTGATCTCTAGCTGCTATCGTGTCTACTGTAATACATTTCTTAAATTATGGACAAATAAACACACACACACACACACACACACACACACATACATACATACACACACATATATTATATATTAAGACAAACTTAAGAAATCTGGTACAAAACTTAGATCCATTATCATATCAGTTGGGAGGAGGGGAAAGTAGTTCAGCTCACCTTGAAATCTTTTTGCAGAAATTCAGAATGGTTGTCACATATTGTCACAAATCTTGAAAAAAAGGGGAATAAGTTGGTGTTTCTCGACAAATTGGCAGAGAACACCACATATCAGTGAATTATTTTAGAATGCAAACACATTAGGAAGATTCACAACACCATCGGCGAAATAGTAACACTATTACTATTATGAACTTGAAACAACTTTGACGTTGGTTACTAAATAGTGTCTAGTGTTACCAGCTTAGGATACTATGGAGCAAGGACGCTTTTTATGGAGTGACGTCACTCCATATTGGCAAATATTAGCACGTTACCAGCCTTAAATACATTCAAATGATAATAAACCATATATCAGGCCACCGTGAATGTCCCAGTCATCCTCGTTTATTTTGAAAATGTTACCAAGCGTTATCTAAAATTCATTTGTCTTGGTGTTTTATTACTAACGTCGAGCGCGAACCCTCACCAACTCCACAATAAACAACATCTCAGGGTCCTAACTGCACGGCATATTATGCAAACACGCATACTAGTGTTGTCACCGCTTAGCAGTTAGGTAAATGCCAAATTGTCTAGTCGGAACAACTACGTCATTACTCAGCACTATATACATTCTCACTTAAGGTAGAGATGCAGTTTACCTAACAGGTATTTTAATTAGTTAATTAGGAAACCAAGTTGACGCTCCTTGTCCACAAAACTATATATTTTCGGAAAGCTTATTGTACGAATTTTAAAATTTTGTTAATATTTTTGTTATGGACACTGTAGTTTGAAATATGCACAAAAATGTGCTTTTTTGGTCAAAAGTGATTTAAAAAAAAAGCTCCTAAACCATGTTCTTGTTTCCTGTCAAAATTAGTTTATGGGTACATCTGTTTACTATGAAGAAAGTGCCGCCCTGAAAACTGTCTACCAGTTGTCAATTTTCCTGGGCAGCAGCTCAAATTTCACTACTTCAAGTTTATGCATAAATTAACACCCGGGCTAGTTGTCTGTACGATTGCTGTAACACGGTTCAACCAAAAACAATGCCCCGACGGCGTTTTGAAGATAAACACATTGTCAATCATTTGTGAACATTTCAAAACAAAAAGTCAAAGCGTCTAGGAGCTATTTTTTTAAAGTTCTGGAATGTGCACTAAAAAGAAGCTGAGATATTTGCTAATTTGCATAACAATTCACTCAGTGAGAAGATTGCTAATGCTCATAATTAAAATGGCTGTAACAGTTACAAATTTAAATGTATTATTGTTTTGTTAAAAGTTAAATATAGTGCATAATATGGAGAACCCGTCATTTCTTTTTTTCACCATGTTTCTTTTTTTATTATTTATGTACAGCCTTGCTATATCTTGCCAAGCATTCAAAAGAGATAATGTTTGCACCTGTTATCTACATTTTAAAATCGTCTTTTGAGTATGTTCCACTATTCATAATTCTACAAAATTTAATCAGTCTATAGCCAAGACTGTTTAGATAATAAAAAGCAAAAAAAAATTCACTCCAAAGTGTCCACGAACCTGCATCTCTACTTTAACTGCCGAACAAAAAGAGGTTTTGCGACACACTTACAACACACGAACAAACTTTTTTTGGCACAGACAATAAAAACCTCGCATGTTATCAGCAATAAGAGAATTTCCCACCCCTAAAACGTCAAACAAGTTTCTACTTCAGAAAATTACATGCGCAATTTGTTCACATAGCTACGCCATTATACGGAGTTGACCAAAAAGGACAAGAAATTTGTTTTGACGAACGACAGCAATGACATCTGTCTCGCACATGTGCAAATCATTGAAAACACGCCTTTATCTATAACATTTTTTACGCATAAATCAATTAATTTCATGTTTTCCCATTCAGGTGATGCTAAACAACAGAATAGGCGAAAGTTTAAAATATAGCTGGTATCAACAAACAACCTAATGCAAAGACGTTACGATATAAATTTCAATATTTCAGGTTACGAGGCCGGTGATGAATACGAAGAAAAACAGACGCAGCATGTCACAAATTACGCACTAAGCCTACAAATGTGCACGATATTCGATTTTTAGGAAGATATGTCATGAATTTGTTTTCGCGTATCTATTGACCGACTTAATTAGCTGATTATTAGCCGAATTGCTGTGTTATGTCTGTCATCGTTCAGGTCTATTTGAAGTTTTGGACGGAACTTGGCTCAGTGGTTTGGAACTAATTACAAGATACCGTCGCTATTCTGACATCCGTAGTTATTAATGGAGTGAACGATTAATCAAAAGATATGACGTATTCAGTACTTAGTGTGATTGGCTTTATGATTGAAGTTTACGCCTTAGAGTCTTTTTTCTGCTTTGTAATTGGTTAGAGTTTTGAAAATGAATAAAGAGAGTTTGAGTTGGTCTTGGCGAATACTCCACGACAGACGCAGTCCTGGGCAGTCGAGAGTGCAGTCCAGGGGC